AAGAGAGAACAACTTATATATATAAGCCAAAAATATGGGTAACTACTATGAAGGGATAGAATATGACTCTAAAAATGAAAAATAAAAATGTTTTTTTTTTAAAAAAAGGGATTGATAAGATGTTGTTTGAAAAAGGGAAAAAGAAAAATTCAAAAAGAAATAAAAAGACAAAAAGACAGTTAAAAAAAAAAATTAACTTTAAAAGACTAAGGAATCATGGTAAAAAAGCCGTGAATTCTATGTGCAGTATTCCCCTAGCGCTGGAGTTCTGCCGTTCTCATTGATCGGTAAACTTGGTCTTGGCTGGCTGTTCTCGCTGATCTTCTGGGGAGGGGCCTGTTGCCGTGGTTCCCAAATGTCTCTGCCGGAGGCGGAATTGCCCCGCCCTTGCCCCCTCCCGGCTAAGTCATCTGCTCAGGTTTGCTCTCCGGGGCTTTTGTTCCCTGCGAGCTTTCCGTACAGCTTTGGAGGCGGAGCGTGAAAATGGCGGCCTCCCAATCTCCGCCCCGGAGGAGCCGAGAACTCGGGCCCGCTCCTCAGTGCGTCCCCAGAGAAAAGCCGTCAGTCACTCCCGTCTCCCCGGTCTCCGGCTGCACTCCATGCTCAACCGGCCTGTGACTGCGCGTTTCTATCTCTGGCACCCGACCCGGGTGGAGTCTCCGAACCCAGCAGATCCCTGCGGTGCCCTCCCGCGCGGCTCCTCCCGGGGGAGGAAGGTGAGTCTCCCCGGATCTGCCGCTTTTTGGGTCCCTGCTGGAGGAGCAGTGGCCCGGCTGTGCCGCGGATCACGGTTTATGTCAACCCCGAGCTGAGAGCCCACGCCTGGGCTCCGCCTCTGCAGCCGGCTTCCCTGCTCCGATACCTGGGAGCTCTGCCGCACTCAGGCACCCCCGGTCTTTCTGTGACCCCGAGGGTCCTGAGACCACACTGTCCCGGAGGGTTCCACCCCCCGCTTAGCCACCAGAGTGACGTCCCTCGGCGGAGCAGACTTTTAAAAGTTCCGATTTTGTGCTCCGCGGCTCTATCACTTGCCAGAAGCGGCCGACGGAGGCCCCTCCCCCGCCGTCTATCCTCCCGAATATCGCCTCGGATTCACTTCTCCGCACGTCCTACCTTCCAGAAAGTGGTCGCTTTTCTGTTCAGAAAGTTGTTGCTCTTCTTTTCTTTGATCTCCTGTTGGGTTTGTAGGTGTTCAGAATGGTTTGATCCCTATCCAGCTGAATTCCTGAGACCAGACAAAATCCAGGTCTCCTACTCCTCCGCCATCTTGCTCCCTCTCCGATAAGGACTCTTTTTAAAAGATATCCAGAGTACCATAATTCTTTTATAATATCAAGTAGCTGATCCTCTTTTATGGTTCTTTTTTTTTTTTTTAAGAAAGAGAGGGAGAGAGTGGGGTGGGAGAGGGAGAGAGAGAATCTTAAGCAGGCTCCATACCCAAAGCGGAGCCCAACGCAGGGCTCGATCTCACGACCCTGAGATCATGACCTGAGCCAAAATCAAGAGTCGGACACTTAAATGACTGAGCCACCCATGCGCCCCCCTCTTTTATGATTTTTATAGAATATCTTAATTGTTTTCTTAGAAAAGCAGTCATTTCTTTTTCACTCAACTTAGTATCATAAACATTTTACCATGTCATTAAATATTCTTCTAAAATGTAATATTTAAGCATGCGTGATATTGATGAATCAGTTAATTTATTGAGTCAATCATGTTTTCAGATTTATATTATTTCCAAATTTTCACCATTAAAAAGTACTTCCAATGAACACCTGTGATAGACCATAGGTGTCTCCAAATATCCGTACTCCCCTCATTCTTTAGGATAGAACCCCAATTTTATTTGGTGTGACAAAAGATAAGCTAAAAAAAAATTCATTTCCCAGCTTCTCTTGCAATTTAACTGAGGCCAAGTGAGATCTAAGTAGGCATTTTGTGGGGTCTCTGGGAAGGCTGCTGGGAGGAAATTGACTCGGCTGGGAAGTGCTCCATTTTTGCCCTCCTCCCCTTCCTCCTTCCTACTGCCTGGAACACAGGTAGAGTTGCTAGTGGTCCAACACCATGTTGAACCATTAAAATGGAAGATACACTCGGGGCGCCTGGGTGGCTCAGTTGGTTAAGCGACTGCCTTCAGCTCAGGTCATGATCCCAGAGTCCTGGGATCGAGTCCCACATCGGGCTCCCTGCTCTGCGGGGAGCCTGCTTCTCCCTCTCCCACTCCCCCTGCTTGTGTTCCCTCTCTCGCTGTGTCTCTCTCTGTCAAATAAATAAATAAAATCTTTAAAAAAAAAAAATGGAAGATACACTCTAAGGTGATAGAGCCGGAAAAAAGCAACCTGGATCTCTGATGACCCCCACGTCAGAGGTCTGCTTACTTCCAGACCTCCAGTGGGTGATGAAGTAATAACTCTTTTATTTAAGCTGCTGTAAAAGTTTATCATTTAGGGGACAGGAGAGCAGAGTGAAGAGAAGCTTTGAGGCTGGCACATGGTGGGCTTCACACAGAACAGCGAGAACGTGGTGTGCCTGGAGCAGAGTTCTAGAGTGGAAAGGGGTAGGCATGACATTGGAGAGGAGTCTGGCAGCCCACGGTGAAGATATCCATTCTAAGTGTCCCTTGCGCCTCACAATGGAATGAAGCTTTTAAAGTTATTCTGAGAGGGTTACTTGACAGTGTCACCAGAGTGCCCGCCACATGTAAGCATTTACTATGTGATAGTTCCCGTTGTTGTGGTTATTAATAACAGGGTGAGAGCGTTGAAAGAAAGTGGGACCAGGACTCAGAAAAGCAGGGCTCCACTACTGGTTTTAGAAGTTACCAATCTCGGGCGCCTGGGTGGCTCAGTTGGTTAAGCGACTGCCTTCGGCTCAGGTCATGATCCTGGAGTCCCGGGATCGAGTCCCGCATGGGCTCCCTGCTCGGCAGGGAGTCTGCTTCTCCCTCTGACCCTCTCCCCTCTCATGCTCTCTGTCTCTCATTCTCTCTCTCGCAAATAAATAAATAAAATCTTTAAAAAAAAAAAAAGAAAAAAAAAGAAGTTACCAATCTCAAGACACTAGCCAAGTATCTGCTTCTTGTGATGTCAATTTTGTCATATGTAAAATGGAGATGCAAAAATGTAAGACCAGGTAAATGACTGCCAAATTTACGTGAACCTCAAAACCCCCTGCTCAGATGGAATATTGAATAAGTCAAACATGCCCAGTAGACATGAGTGGAGTGACTGTGGTGGAGGGGGGTGTGGGGGCCCTGAATACTGTTGCTCTCTGTTGCGTCTCCTCTTCCTTACCATGGCAGTCCCTCAGGGGGCTTCTCAAGGCGCTGCAGAAAAACCACTAGACTGAGGTTGAACATCATGAGTCACTTGGGAAACACAAATCAAAACCACAATGAGACAGAGCACAGAGGATTTTTAGGGCAGTGAAACGACTCTGAACGATACTACAATGGTGGCATGCATGTCATTGTACATTCACCAAAACCCAGAGGATAGGGGCGCCTGGGTGGCTCAGTTGGTTAAGCGACTGCCTTCAGCTCGGGTCATGATCCCAGGGTCCTGGGATCGAGCCCCGCATCGGACTCCCTGCTCCGCGGGAAGCCTGCTTCTCCCTCTTCCACTCCCCCTGCTTGTGTTCCCTCTCTCGCTGTGTCTCTCTCTGTCAAATAAATAAATAAAATCTTAAAAAAAAAAAAAACCCAGAGGATATACAACATGAAGAGGGAGAGCTAATGGAAACTACGGACTGTGAGTGATAATGGTGCATCTGTGTAGGGTCATCAATTGTTAGAATGTACCAGTGTGGTGGAGGACATCATAGTGGGGAAGGTTGTGTATGTGTGGGGATAGGAGGTAGATAGCAACACTCTGGACCTTCCTGAAATGGCTTTAAAAAATTAAAAATTAAAAATTAAAAATTAAATTAAAACATTTAAGTTTATTAATTTAAAAGCCTTTTTAAAAAGCACAATGAGAGGGGCACCTGGGTGGCTCAGTCGTTAAGCATCTGCCTTCGGCTCAGGTCATGATCCCAGGGTCCTGGGATCGAGTCCCATATCAGGCTCCCTGCTCGGCGGGAAGCCTGCTTCTCCCTCTCCCACTCCCCCTGCTTGTGTTCCCTCTCTCGCTGTGTCTCTACCTTTCTCTGTCAAATAAATAAATAAAATCTTAAAAAAAAAAAAGACTATATCATCTGATACAAAGATGAAGACCACAGGGGCGCCTGGGTGGCTCAGTCATTAAGCATCTGCCTTCGGCTCAGGTCATGATCCCAGGGTCCTGGGATCGAGCCCCGCATCGGGCTCCCTGCTCAGCGGGATGCCTGCTTCTCCCTCTCCCACTCACCCTGCTTGTGTTCCCTCTCTCTCTGTGTCTGTCTCTGTCTGTCAAATAAATAAGTAAAATCTTAAAAAAAAAAAATTAAAAAAAATAAAAAGCACAATGAGATACCACTTCATACCCACTAGGCGGCTGTAATTTTTTTTAAAAAACAAGACAAAACAAATGTTGGAAAATAACAAGGGTTAGCAAGGATGTGCTAAGTGTGGTATATACATGCAGTGGAATATTATTCATCAATAAAAAGAAATGAAGTCATGACACATGCAACAGCATGAATGAACCTCAAAAGCATGATGCTAAGCGAAAGAACCCTGATGCAAAAGTTTACATCTTGCACGATCCATTTACATGGAATATCCAGAACAGGCAAATCCATAAAACAGAAAGCAGAAAGCAGTGGTTGCCAGGAGCTAGAGGAAGGTGGTGGGGTGGTGGGGTGGTGGGTGGCGGAGCTGGGGAGTGACTGCTATAATGGGGCTAGGATTTCCTCTGCAGTGATGAAAATGTCTTAGTACTAGATGGAGGTGATGGTTACATAACGTTGCTAATGTACTAAATGTCTCTGAATTGTACACTGAAAATGGTTAATTTTATGTTTTGCAACTCGTATCTCAGTTTTAAAAACACCAGACTAGGAGCTCTCTAAATTCTTTCCAGTTCCAATGCTCTTGCTGTCCTGCCCCATGGCCATGTGTTATCTGTAATTTTGAAGCGGGTTGGTGCATGCTAAGACCCAAGAAGACTACCAATAGCCCTTACCACCATTATTCCCTCAGAGCCCTTGAGGGAAAAAAGCCCCCAGGAAAGGTAAGTTTTAGAAGGATAAAGTACAGAAAGCGCCAGAGCATGAAACACAAACAGAGTATGAATATAGCATAAACAGGGGTGGGGGGTGATAGGTACCATAATGGAAGGTCCCTGAATTTGCCAGACTATTTCTGGGAGTAATGGAGATAATTATGCAGTTGGAGGATTAAGTAGGGAGCTATTCCTACTCAAAGCCAAAGGGTTGGGCTCTTCATTGCTTATAAAGGTTGAAAGAAAAGACCCTCCCGGGCTTCAAGGGGTCTGCAGAAGGATGGGAAGAGAATTCTAGACCTATGCTGTCCAAAATGGTAGTCACTAGCTACACGTAGCTCTTGAACACTTGAAATGTGGGTAGTCTGACATGAGACGTGCCGTAGTATAAAATACATACCAGACTTGGAAGACTTCGTTAAAAAAAAAATTTTTTTTTTTAGATTTTCTTTCTTTATTTGAGAGAGAGAGAGATAGAGATAGTGAGAGAGAGCACAAGTGGGGAGAAGAGGGAGAAGCAGGCTCCCCGCAGAGCAAGGAGCCTGATGCGGGGCTCAATCCCAGGACCCCGGGATCAAGACCTGAGCCGAAGGCAGACACTTAACTGACTGAGCCACCCAGGCGCCTGGAAGACTTTGTTTTAAAAGAAAAGAATGTAAGTATCTCATTAATCATTTTCATATTAAGTCTATGACAAAATGATCATATTTTAGATATATTGGATAAAATAAATATATTGGATAAAATATTATTAAAATTAATCTCACTTTTTAAAAAACTTTTTTTATGTGGCTACTAGAAATTTTAAAATTATGTATATGGCATTATATTTTGCTTGGACAGCACTCACATTATATTTTGCTTGGACAGCACTGCTCAGTGGACCATTGTATTACTCCTCCAGGGCAGAAGCGGCGCTGTCCAGAGTCTCTTGGCAGAGACCACCCAGCCTAAAGCACCATCTGGGCATTCAAGCTCCCCAAATAACTGCTGGGGAAATGTGGGCACGTCTTATCCCAACACAGCACGACAAACAGAACCCATTAAGCAAAGCAAATTTTGCTTGTGGCCTGGATACAGACACAGGTGCAACGAAAGCTTCAAGTCTTTTTAAGCAATTCCATTTTCTCAAAAGGTTGGTAGGGCCGTAAGCATAGTGTCGGGGCAGGAGGGAGGTCCCGGCATATCCCTCCCCAGCATCTCAATATGTCTCTCAGAGTTCCAGAGGGTAGATGGAATAGCATTTTTGAAATCGTCCAGGAAAACTGTGAAATGTTTATTCGATGGCAGGGTGAAGATTGTACATTTTCTATCAAGAATGAAAATAAGAACAAAGATCCAAATAGCCAGTCCCTCACCCCGCCATTTTAGTCACAGTCTGCCTGTGTTTTTGGCCGTGTTACAAAATGAAATAAATCCCTTTATAATCCCTCACACTGGCTCCAAAAAAAGTATTTTCACAAGCACCAGAGCAGACCCTTTGGGCATTTCTTCCCACAAATGCTCATCTCTGCTCAAACCTCTTCCCCACCCGGCCCCCCACCCCCTGATCACATCTTTTTCCAATATGGTAAACTGAAATGATTCTGGTGATGGTTATGTCAAATGGGGATGGGAGGGGGTGAATACAGGGAGTGGTCCAAACAGGAATCCCTCTCACAAGCTCAATATCCTCCCCAGACTCTCCATGATCCTTCCCAAGTCACTCACCTTTGTTGGTTTCTTCTTCGAAGCAACACATCGAATTTCCTGTTTTACGCCTGGCAACAACCCCCCGCATTGAGGTTACCTAACACTTCACGTAGTTCTTAGGGCCTTTGAGCAGCATGACCCTCCCCCTTAACCCTCACCCCCATATCTAGCTCAGTATAACTTCATGTAACACTCAATAAATATTTGTTGAATGACTGAATGAAGTTGAATCTGGTATTTCCCAACTCCGATAAAATAGAAGAAATCAATGTTAGCTTTTCTAGCTAGCTAGAGAAACAGGAGAGCTATATAAAATGATCTGAAGGAAAAATTGCATCCAACATTTTACTTCCAGGTCTCTGAAGGAGGCTGTTATAACAATGGACTATAAATACAGGGTGAATGCTATATCTGTAAAGAAGCAATGCTAACAGTGGTCTGGAAGAGCCAAGAAAATCCAGCTTCTTCTCCCCGAATATATACACAGGTGCTCTGTGTGGAATGAAATCCACTTAACTTGATTTTATGGACAGTGATTCATGCAAACTCAGTTCCAAACTGCTCAGCACGGCTCAGTTAAATAAATTACAGCAGGAGTAAGCCAGCCAGCAGTAAAGGCAAAAGACAGAAAATAAACTTGAGGTTGAGGACTGAAATTTTAGGTGCCTGTTGTGCCAGAATCATCCTTTCTTCTGGGGGTTCTGAAGGGACCTCAGTGGTCTTCAAGGTGAAGGCCCTGATTTGACTGATAGAGAAACTGAGGCCCACAGAAGATGGAGTACATGTCCAAAGTTACATAAAGAGTGACTGGCAGAATCAGGGTTCCTGGGTCCCAGATCAGAGCATTTCTTCATTTCATCAGGCTCCTGAATGGTTCACTGTCCTAGTGCCAGGCTCATCGAAGAGACTTGATAAACATTTGTTGACTTAATGAATGACTGAATCTGCTAGGCTGGGAATAGCGAGTCAGTCTGAGGGTTAGAGATAGGAAGAAAGATCGAAGATGACCTTCTAGAAAAAATACCCATGTGTTTAGATGCTCAGTGTTCCAACTCCCACCTGGGGAGACACAACCAGCCCCCTACTTTGGCCTCCTCTCTGTTGTGTGAAGGCCTGCCACAGTGCTCCATCCCTCCCATTGGTGGACAGCAGTTCCTTCCTTCAGGACTAGGGCATCACTGCCCAGGAGTGGAGATACATCAACAGGGATGAGTTTGCCTCATTAACGCCTTAGTACCTACTGTCCCTGAGCACACAATAGTACTATAGTGACCTTCTTGGGGTGTTCTGTGAGATACCATCGCATCCTTATAATAAATTGCCCATATCTTTTTTTTTCTAAGCTAGCTTGAATTATTTTTCTTCCTTGTAACCAGAAGATTCTTACACAAAATAAAGGCTCTTAGTAACTGACACAGTGGATAGATCGATTTAAGGTATGGCAGTTTTCCAACATGGCTGCAAATTCTTTGACAATTGTTCCATCAAGAAATGAAGCCTACCTACCCTCCCCTTGAATCTGAGCAGTCCTGCAACTGTCTCAACCAATAGAGTATGAGAGATGTGAAGGTAAAGATGAGGCCTGAGGATAAGCCATGAAAGGCCATGCAGCTTTCACCTCATTCTTGGAACACTGAGCTACCACATGAAGCCATCATACTGTGGACAGGCTACATATTGTTGTCAATAGTCTTCAGCCCAGGCACCAGGCATATGTGAAGGAAGAAGCTTCCAGATGGCTCCAGCCCTTGCCATTCGAGTCTTCCTAATTGAAGGCCCAGATATCCAGGAGCCATCCCACCATACCGTCTCTAAATTCCTGACCTGTGGGACATACAAACAGAAGAAAAAAATGGTGATTGTTTTATGTCATTAAGTTTGGGATAATTTGGTACACAACAATGTGTAACTGAAACAGAAGTGTATAAAGGAATAAGAAGAAGGCCAAGAGTATGAAACATTGTTCAGCTGGTATGTACAGAGGCAGCACCATGGAATTCCAGTGATCAGTCTGAAGAGACAGGAGGCTGGTAGCCTTGGGGCAGGGACGGGTGTTGGCAAGGGGGGTTTGTTACAGAGAAACATTGTCTTTTTTGGTCTACACCTGGGCCAGCTCCAGGAGGAGGCCCTCTGGGTAAGATGAGGAAGCTGACACAGGGAACAACCAGCCTGCTCTTTGGATGTGCTTTAGAGGTTCCAGCTTGCTTTCTCAACCACACTCCTCAGGACCATGAACACCAGATGAGAGGGGAGCAATTGTAGTTCTTCAAATGCTCCCATCCCTGGAACCTGAACTCTTTTGGTTGCAAGGGACAGAAATCCAACTCAAGTAGTGCAACCAATATATGAACAATATGACATGTAGCTTGTGATCAAATGCAACGTTAAATTGTACTCAGTAGAGTACTCAGTGCTCACCCAGTAGAGGGTGATGGCATCACACTATCCCTGAGTGGTCCAGGAGTGCAAGGCGACTGTTGAAATGAAGCTGGGTACTGTCTTGACCATCTTCTTATATATACTCCTGGAACATAGTTCTCACATGCTTCAGTGAATAGATACCTTTCTTAGGTGATAGCTTGATATTTTGCTGTGCTGAGGCCAAGCACAATCTCTCCACCATCATGACCTACTAGCTAATATTCTGTCCATTAGTATAGCCATCATAGTATGTATTACCTATTATCACAATCATGTTATACAACAAATAACCACAGAACTTCAGTGACATATAGCAATTAACATTCTGCTCACGAGCCTCTGGGTCAGCTGGGTGGTTTCACCAGGCTTAGAGGGATCATTCACACATCTACACTCAACAGTAGGTTAGCTTAGGAGGCTTGGCTGATCTTGGCTGGGCCGGGCTCTCTCACATATCTGGAGCTTTGCCCTGGCTTTGCTTCCCATATCTCATTCCCCATCAAGCTGGAGCAGGTTTGTTCCCATGGTGACAAAGGAGCAAGAGGTAGAGCAAACATAAGCAATGTCTCTTGAGGCCTAGGCTTGAAACAAGCACACCATCACTTCTACCACATTCTATGGGCCAAGGCAACTCACAAGATCAGCTCATGCCCAAGGGGTGGAGAAATGTCTTCACCTCTCAGCAGGGGGAGCTGCAAAGGCAAACTGCAAAAGGCATGTATTAGGAAGAATTAGAGCCATCTCTGAAATCAATTTACCTTATGACATAATTTTATATGTAAAATTTAGCAACATGCCTAGGACAGGTTTGCAGTACCCTGGAATGCCAAAGTACACAGGTTGAGAATTAGTGGTATAATGGTTGAGAACTGGGAGTATAGGGTCGGACAGCTGGATTCCAATTCCTACTTCACCACTTACTAAATGAGCTTGGGCAATGTTCTTAGCCTTTCTAAGCCTCAGAATCCCCTCCTAAAGAGGCACTAACAGTGTGTAGGGGGAATCAACTGCTTCTGGTTTCCCCACATCACCCAGCACAATTGTAGGTCTACTGTGGGGATTTGATCATTCCTTTTTGATCCTCGCTGATTCAGGAGGCAGAAATTTGGGCAGCCTCTTCTCCGGTGAGAGTATCGTTTTCCAGATTTCGATCTTTTAGTGCTTCCATCGCCATCTTATTCTAATTCTCATCGTGAATAAACATATGACAAAGTGCTCAACTTCATTGATAGTCAAGAACGAGCAAATCAAAACTATCCTGAGACACCAGCACACATTCAGCCACGGCTACAATAAAAAATACTGACATTTCCAAGTGGTGCTGAGGAAGGGGTGTGGTGGCAGCTTACATGCACCACTTTGAAATCGGTTTGGCTGGCGCCATAAAAATCAAATATGCTCTGTTTGCACCAGCAAATGTGCAGAGGTAGAGCAAAAGTAAGCAATGTCTCTTGCTTGGAGATAGGCAAGCATTTAGCCTGAACAAAGCCCTCCTAGCTGACACTCAACAGAATGTGTGGCCATATACACTGAAAGATGCGCTCGGGAATGTTCACGGCAGCATTTCTCATCATAGCCCGACTGGAAACAACCCAAATGTCCGTTTATGGTAAAACAGACCACTTGTAATATAGCCGTTGCTACAGAGTAATGAAAATGAATAAGGTACAGGCAACAAAGAGAAGTAGAACAAAAGAAGCCAGATATAAAAATATATCCCCATGGCCCTGCTCATGTATGCATGTATAAATAGTCCTATTTATGTAAAGTGTAAACACCTAAAACTGTAGTCTTAGAAGTCAGGGTAGTGGTTAATTTTGGGAAGGGTGGAGAGACTGTGGTTGGGGAAGAGCATGAGAGGGGTGTCTGCGGTGCTGGTAATCATCTATTCTTAATCTGGATGCTAGTCACATGCTATGTACTTGATGATAACTCATTGAGCAGTATACAATAATCTGTGTACTTTCTACTCATGTGATACACTTTTGCAATGGACATTTTTAAATAAAATAAATTTAGGGGCCCTGGGTGGCTCAGGTGGTTGAGTGGCCGACTCTTGGTTTCGGCTCTGGTCATGATCTCAGGGTCCTGGGATCCAGCCCCACATCAGGCTCCCTGCTCAGCAGGGAGTCTGCTTGTGGATTCTCTCTCTCCCTCTGCCCCTTGTCGAGCTTGCTCTCGCTCGCTCTCTCTTTCTAAAATAAATAAGTAAATAAATCTTTTTAAAAAATCAAATCAATTTAACATGGCTTATACAATAAGACATGGCTTTAGAGCACTTTCTAGGAGTTATTGTCTAACGAACTGAGATTGGCTGTCTTTGGGATTCCCCAGGGGACAAGAGAACATCCCTCCGAGAGTGGCCCAAACCTCCAGGAGACTTAGAGTGATGCATAAACAAGGGGCACAGTCTGGCTCCTGATGAGAGAGCCCAATCTGGCAGCAAACTCAGCCTAACAGAAAGCCCAGCCAGGGAATTTCTTTGAGGAGTACAAACAAGGTGGGAGACCCACCCCACGGTGCGGGAGTGGGGTGGCTCACGGGAGCCCCTCCCTCTGCCTGCGTTGGAGATAGGCAAGCATTTAGCCTGAACAAAGCCTTTCCCAACCCCAGTGAAGGAGCTGTTTGTTTCCAAAGGTCTGGTAGAACAACTAACTGTAAGCTAGGGAGAGGAAGTTACACAATGGATGTTGAAATGTAGGCTTGTTGAAAGTTGTCACTCGAGTAATGAATGCCCTATTTCCTGTTTTTTTGCCGAAAGTTAAATGCTGGGCATAATTAGCTAGTAAAAAAGCAAACTTGGCAGCAGAACAAAAATAGCACATTTTGGGAGCCCAGGCCAATTAAAATTGTTTATGCAGGCATTTAGCAATATTTTTCTCCAAACTATTAAGACCGGGGAAATACGCAGCATAAGACTGTAAGGCAAGCTCCTCAGAAGAAAAATGGCCCACACACTGATCCTTTAAACAGCCTGCTGTTCTCGGGGGATTTTATAATAAGAATGAGCATT